GTAAAAAAAAAGCCTCTGATGATCGCACGACTCAGCTGGGATCTTCAAATGCTTTTAAAAGCCTCTGATGATCCAGCTGAGTTGTCTGATCAGCAGAGGCTTTTTTTCTTTTAAATGCCTCTGACGATCCAAGCTGAGTTGCCTAATCAGCAGAGACTTTTTTCTTTTAAATGCTTCTGATAATCCAAGATGAGTTGCCTGATCGGCAGTGGCTTTTTTTCTTTTAAATGCCTCTGATAATCCAAGATGAGTTGCCTGATCGTCAAGAGGCCTTTAAGAGAAAAAAAGCCTCTGCCGATCAGGCAACTCAGCTGGGATCGTCAGAGCCTTTTGAAAGCATTTTTTTACAACCTCTTTGCCGAAGAGGTTGTAGAAAAAAATGATTTTAAAAGTTTAAAAAAAAATGGCCACACCCACCCAGTCACATTAACCCCCCCCCACCAAGCCACGCCCACAAAACCATTAGTAACAAATTTTAGATTTCATCACTGGTAATACCCACACCTGGACAGTTCTACTAAAAACCATTGCAGGATTTTGTTACAGTTAAAGTCTTAGAGATCTGGTCAAAGATTGATTGCAGTAACAGTGAAAAGGAAAACCAGCTGTAAAAATTTATTAATTCATCCAACAAATGGAATGGAATACTATCCTCAATAGCAATCTGGTTTTAAAAGCTAGGAAAAATACCTCACATTAACCTTGTCATTGAAAGTGGATTTTTAAAAAAGACAATTATCCATTTACTGAAATGTAAAATATGGCTCTTTTGTAGGTGCGTATGTTTAGGTGCGGTTTTATTTTATCTAACGTTGGCATGATTGCTTTTGTTGATGTTCTGGAAAAGCCTATTCAAACAGGAATTTCATCATGACTTGAAGCATCAGGATCCTAAAACTAATATATTTACTACCTGAAGTTTGCTGATCACTATGTTCTCTACTATACTTCAAGGTGTTCCCTAATAATACAATTAATGTGTATAAATCACATAATAATGTTAAAATTTTATGATCTTGTGGCACTGCATTACTAGCTGTCTAGGGCTACATACATCCCGTGGGCTATGAATTGGACAACTTCTGATTCAAGCAGTACACAATGTATCAGTAATCATAAGAGTTTGAAGGTGTCATTTAGGTCAGTGGTCCCCAACCCCCGGTCCGCGGACCGGTGCCGGGCCGTGGAGTACCTGGCACCGGGCCGCGCAGCGGCCGGGGGACACGAACGCTGCAGCGCAAAGGCTCCTGGGCCGTGCGCAAAAGCTCCTGGGCCGTGCGCAATGGGCCGTGCGCAAAAGCTCCTGGGCCGTGTCCCCACCCCTGCGCGCGCTCAGCGGGCCGCGGCGATAAAAAGGTTGGGGACCACTGATTTAGGTTGTCAGTCCAATCCTTTGCACAGTATAGGTATTCAAATTAAAATATTTGGAGGGAGGGCTTCCTAGCCTTTGCTTGAACACATGCAAAGAAGGGATGCGTTTATCTGGACAGTTGGTTCCATTATCCAATTATTCTTACAGTTAGGACTGTATTTCCCTAATGTTTCATTAAAATGAACCTTACTCTAACTTAACCATTATCTATGTCCTTTACTCTGGAACTAGAGAGAGCACCTAACTTGTTTTCTGTGATGGTGTTTGTAGACAGTTATCACTTTCCCCCTCAGTTGACTTTTTAAAAAGCTAGACAAGGCATAGTCCTTCTTCCTTCATGGAGATTAGTTTCTACAACTCTGATCACCTTTGTTCTCTGTCAGACTCCGATTTCTCTGAATCCTTAATATAATATTCATAACTTGACATAGTGGTTGAGGTGAGGTCAGACCAAATCTAACTAAAGTGAAACAAATACTGTAAATATTGGAAGTTACATTTTTGGGAATAAACTCTAAAATTCCATTTTCCATTTTAGCAGCAGTATCAACTTGTTTATGTTGAATAGCAATCCACACTACTGTTCCATAACTATTCCAAAATAGTTTTCACAATATTATTACAAATCCTAGGTATCATCCATCCTCTGCTTGTGGGCTTTGCACTTGTTTTTATTAAATACTAGCTGTACCTGGCCACGCGTTGCTGTGGCCCAATCTGGTGCTTCCGCTGGGCTAAAAGAGCGAGGCTGAAGTTCCAAACTCTCCACAAACATTTGGTGGGCATGGCCAACTCGACGTCACTCACTTTCATCAGTCACATGACAGCCCCCGAGCCATGCCTACTCAGCTGGTGATTAGGGCAGAGAACCGGTTGCTAAAAAACAATGGGAACCACAAAATCCTCCCTCTCTGTCTCCCCCCTCTCTTTTTATCTCTCTATGTGTCTCTCTCTCCCCCTCTGTATCTATGTGTCTCTTTCTCCCCCTCTCTCTGTATCTCTATGTCTCTTTCTCCCACCCTCTCTCTGTATCTCTGTATGTGTCTTTCCCCCCCCCCCCTGTCTCTCTGTATTTCTCTATGTCTCTCCCTCTCTCTCTGTTTATCTTTGTCTCTTCTGCATCATCCGCCATCGCCCTTACCTTTTCAGGCCAGGCCTTCGCAGCTCTCTGCACCACAGCAGAAACTCAGGGGGCCCCTCTGTCCTCCCTACACAAATGTTCTCTGGGGGCTTGACAGGGAGATGCATAGCAGGGAAGGGAAGGGAGGGAGGGAGGGGGTGCAGCAGGGGTTCAAGGCTGGTTTGGGGCTTCCCGCCTGAAGGAAGAAAGTGGCAAAGCCAGGAGCCACGCACACCCCACTGGACCCCTGCTGCGCAGTTCTCCTCCCCTGCCTGCCAAGGGAAGGGGAATGATTAAATCCCCTGCTCTTCCAGGCGAAACGAAGGAGGGCCAGCCATCCTCCCTCCTGCCTGTTTCCGCCTCCCCGGAGCCCCTTTTCTGCCAGAGGCCGAAATTTTCATGTAGGCTCCGTGAACTGCCAGAGCGCCCACCTAGGAATCAAAGGCGGCGCTGGTCAAAGGCGACCCCGAGGCTCCAGTTGCCTCCATCTCCCGCTCATCGACTGGATTCGCATATGCCGGTTAGCGGCTGGTCTTTCTGACCTCAGGGCCCGTGGTAGCTCTGAGCCAGGCGCAATTCAGGCCAGGTGAGGGATGGAGGGTTCCCGCTCGGCAGACCCAGGCAGCCTCATTGCCAGGTGTTCTTTGGAGGAAGCCCCAAGAGCGGCTGGCGAGGGGGATGGACAGCAGCGGCGGGTGAGGCTAGTTCGCGGGGCGGCTGGGGGAGGGGGAGATCAGACCCAGGCTCGGACGGGCCCCGCCCAACCCTAGAAGCACCAGCTGTGAGGGCTTCCCAGCGGGGAGCCGGCTGCCTACCTGCCGAGCCTGGTGGCAGGATATAGCCCTTGGGCGTCTCTGCCTTCCAAATGTGCAGTTTCTTGGAAGCAATATGGAGAGTCTAAATAGAAGGAGCAGAAATCTGTTGAGCGTAATCAGAGCTGGGAGGTTGCCATGTTGGTTTTACGTCCAGCAGATGGCACTGTTTTTCAATGTTTGTCAATGTCGTTCATGTTTTTACCTGTCACAGGTGTGACATGTATATAATATAGGTATATAAAAACACGCCCGTAGTCGAATGCAACATTGTGTCAAAATTTGAAAGCAATCGGTGAAGAACTTTCGGAGATGTGCAGTTATGTACAAATGGACATTTACATTTTTATTTATATAGATTCTGTTAGTTTCAACCACTTAATCGTTTTTTAACATCTCAGATTTGTTTTGAATTTTATTTCTACCTTCTAAGATATTAACTATCCCATTTAAACCTGTAAATTGTAAAATCTGGCAAGCATTTCCTCCACCACTCCATTAAAGTCCTTAATGAAAATACTTAGAACTAAGCATAATATTCTTCTTGATCATGATTCCTATTGTAGACAGACTTCATTATATATTTCAACAACTCTTGGGAATTGTTCTAATTTCTTTTCAGTATTCTCTTTGTGCCTGTCTATTGCAAAATCCATATTTCTTGGGGTTGTTTCCCTTTCCTCTCTTGAACCATTTTGCTATGGCATATTTAAAAACAGTTCGTTGCTTCTGTATCTAACTTTATTGTCAATGAATTGCCCATTGCAGTTTCCTAGTCAGTTTCTGTAGGTCTTGCTTTATAATTAACTATAAAATCAATATTTATGTTTAAAGCAATCAGACACCCTCATTTTGGATATGCAACTGCAGATTTGTCATAGATAACTCTTGGAGATTTGGGGGCAGGGGACAAGTTCAATTATTCAAGCAATTAAGACACTGTGAATTGGAGTATGGATTTCTCTTTGCAAAGGTGCATCAGCTATGATATTATTACATTTTAAATTAATTATCTAAATTCCCTTATTAGATAGAACAATTTATTTTCCATTGTTTCTTTCTAAATATCCACGACGAACTGAAAAAGCAAGCTACTTTGGATTGCCTTTTTATGAAATGGAATAAACAAATAACTTCTTTTTTTTCCTTTCTCCTAAAAGATTTGTACAGATTAGTTGCAGTTCAAAGATTTGCAAGCTGACTTCTCTGATCTCATAAAGCTCTTTTCCTTCACATTTATAGGAAGGCAGTGCTTAGTTCTTAATGGTATTTCTTTTCATTCTGTCTAAAGGGTCTCTTCATTGGGGTAGTTGACACAAATTTGAAAACAATTACTATAGCTTGTGACATTAGATCAAGAGAATGAAGTCTTTGCATAATATGGATTGAAAAAAGAAATGTCTCAGGAACTGGAAAAAAGATAACTTGTATAAAATATTTCATGGGAAACAAAACTGGCATAACATTCTGAAAAATTTAAAAACTTTAACACACCTCTGCCAAAGACAATTTTGCCTATTTCCTCTAAGAATTTCTTGCCCTAGCTTGAAAAACAACACAGGTTGCAAATAAATCATGTTCATAGAGTCAGTAAAGCTTGCCAGTATAAGGCCAGTAACATTTCAGAGCATTTTTTTTCTTTCTAAGAAACTAGTGTTTATTAATCAATTATTAATCAGTGTTTTCTGCCTTATAGGCCTGCTTCATCCCCTCAGCTTTCACATGATGATACGCATTCACGCATTGAGCATTATGCTAGCAGGTATGAGATCAGGTGGTTTGTTAGGGAAATTTTCCTTGAAACATTTTTTTTTTTAAGTAAATCATTATTGCAACCACCATTGCTCAGATATTAAGAAATGAAGTTAGGCTCATTTCAAGTTCCTAAGATTTATGGTATACATGTTTACTAATCTCTATGCATGTTTACTAATTTCTGCTAATCAGCTTCCTAACTAATCTGCATGTTTAATTACTGCATGATATTTAGAATGTATGTTACATAATTGAAAATAGGAAATGAAGAACACATGGTTTTATTTACAACTAATCTGCTTTTGTTCAAAACATATAGTATACGGTTTTCTTTCTGGAAATATACTACTGGGCAACCATGTAGTACAAAATAATATTTTACACCCAGTATCTAATCCTCAATACATAGGTCATAATTTATTAATTCAGCTTTTGATAAAGAGGACATTGAACTGCTATTTAAAAATATAGAACAATGCCACATTCACTTATTTTTAGAAAACTAGTATAAATATTACAAGATAACAGTTATATCATTATTTTTGTACACTCATAGGAGTGTACATAAGAAATTGAGGATGGGTAGATATAATAGAAATACTTTGTTTTATTGCCAAGAAAAGAGTTGAAATTTTCACAATTCATGTGCATTGAGCAGAAGGTAATTTATACTTGACTGAAATCCTACACAATGATGTTTGTCTGTCTGTAGACAATATTTCAGGATCTCATCATAATTATATTTTTGTTCTCAGTTTTAATTAGGAGAAGATACAGTGAATTTTAAGATGTTTCCTTTCTTCATAGGCTAGCAGAAATGGAGAACACCAATGGAACATATATGAACGATAGCATTTCTCCTAATGAGAGCATGTGAGTATGCCTCTGAGAAATTATAGGAAATTTCTGGTAGTACAGTGGACTAAAGCACTGTTATTAACATCTGCTGCTTGCAATTACTGCAAGTTCAAATCTCACCAGGCTCAAGGTTGACTCAGCCTTCCATCCTTTCAAAGGTAGGTAAAATGAGGACCCAGATTGTGGGGGCAAAAAATATTTATATTTTGTATATAAATATACAAAAAGTATGAAGGCTATTGCTTAACGCATTGTAAGCTGCCCTGAGTCTCCGGAGAATATAAATTAAAGCAAAAAAAAAAAAAAAATTAACTTATTCGCATGCTTTCAGATTTCTGTAGTGAGTTCTTAAGCCTAAAAATTATCCACAGTATGATCTAGAAAGTTACATAGAATTCTACTCTAGGTTACTAGTTGCCAGACTCTATTGAAGGTAATATTTGAAATTTAACATCACCTTCTTATGTAAAAATGCATTAAAAGAGAAACAAAAATGTTATTTTTGTAACTATTTTTAATATGTATTTTGTTTCCCTTTTAAAGTTCAACAGACATCATAGATAAAAAACATAGTCTTTGATCAAATGTAGAAATTCTCATGATTTTCCTGAAGCCACAAATAAGATTGGAATAGTTACTGATTAAGGTCCTTCATCAAAGCTACTCCAAAGCTTAGTACAGAGGACTAAACAAGATTCTAAGTACTGATCAATCTTTAATGTATTTATTTGTTCAAAGGTCAGATATGTATATTTGTGTTTCTATTCCTAGTGAAATCACCTTCTCTGTACAATTATTAAAATTTTTAATCATATCAAGATAGTATTATCCATTTTACTGAGACTGTAGAGTTTCTATCAGTTACCACATGTTACCATTTTATGGTAATTATGTAATAGATTTTTTTGTATAGAATGAAAAGAGAGAAAGAGATTTTAATACATAAATAAGTGTTTTTGGCTGAACTCTATTGCTTCCTATTTTTTTAACAAAGGATCAGGAACTTAGTGTTTATGATCACGCTAAGTTCTTCTACAAAGTAAAATATTTCCTAAAGGATTTCATTTTTGAATCTGTTTTAATTTTCATTTCACTAAAATGAATTGATTTGTGGAAAGCATGATTTGTTAAATATCTATTTTTAAAAGTTTCACAATGTAAGGAGAGAAACTTTAACCTAAGGTAAATAGTATTTAGCTGAACATTAATTTATGACTTTTATCATTTAACTTTAATGGTGGAGTTGTTTTATTAATTTATTAATTAATTTATTTATTTCTATAAAGAGATAGAAGGGAGGGCTTGTTCTAAGAGTAAATTGAGCAGAACTGAGTTCTGGATCATATTACCAGCTTAGCTCAAATTTCATCTAAATCTAGAGGTATTGGCAAATACAATACAGATAATCTTCAAGAAACAATGACAATTGGGACTGGAAAGCCGCCTACAAGCAATGTGGTCATGTACAATACCAGATGTAGTTTAGCAACAGCAATTCCAGCAGATCCAATTGTCATTGTTAAACAAGTACCATGCAGATCATTAAGCAAGGTCCTCATGTGATCACAATTTCCAAATTCCTGCTGGCTGAGTTCCCTGGCAGGGAACATTGGAAATTGTGATAACATGACTGTGGGTGTGGGTGTGATGGCTCCATATCAGGGGTGAAATGCTTCCGGTTCGGACCGGATCGCCCGATCCAGTAGCGATGGAGGTGGATGGTTTGGAGAACCGGTAGCAAAAATCCCTGCCCCTCCCCATGCCCAGCTGAGTCGCACAATCATCAGAGGCTTTTTTTTTTTTTAAATTTTAAAAGCATTTTTTCTACAACCTCTTCGGCCAAAAAAATGCTTTTAAAAGTAAAAAAAAAGCTCTGATAATCACGCAGCTCAGCTGAGATTTTTAAATGCTTTTAAAAGCCTCTGATGATCCCAGCTGAGTTGCCTGATTGGCAGAGGCTTTTTTTCTTTTAAATGCCTCTGACGATCCAAGCTGAGTTGCCTGATCAGCAGAGCCTTTTGAAAGCATTCTTTTACAACCTTTACAATGAAGAGGTTGTAGAAGAAATGATTTTAAAAGTTAAAAAAAAATTGGCCACGCCCACCCAGTCACATTCCCCCCCCACCAAGCCACGCCCACAGAACCGGTAGTAACAAATTTTAGATTTCACCACTGCTGCATATGCAGTGGCTGCATTCTTTCATAGAAAACAAGCTGGTGTGACATTGATTTGTAGCTGGAACTAGCAATCTTGAGCGTTAGCAAAGAAGACTAGAGAATTCAGTTTAGCTTGATAGCACCTTCACATTTTCCTGTGCACTATTTGCTGTTGAATCCAACTTATTCATAATTCATTCTTTACCTGTCTCTTTCTTTAGATATAGTACCAAAAATAATCTTAAACATTAAAACCTTGTATTTCTATGAGCTGCCAAGACACACCTGTGCATGCGCACACACATACACACACTGTGTGTGTGTAGTTTTATATATGTGTGTGTGTATGTCTGTACTTTATACCTTTTCCTCATTTCTTCTATTTTTTAAAAAAATTAATTAAATAATTTTTAACAGAATAAAAACAATATGGACAAAGCAAAAAGAAACTAAAAGAAAAGAAAAAGAAAGAAAGAGACGAGAGAAAGACAAGAAAGGAAAAAGAAGAAAAAATATATAAATGCATTTATATTTTATCTTCTTTTCTTTTTTTCCTTAAAGAGATGATGAACATTTGCTAATCCAGCACTACTGCCAAAGTTTGAACCAGGAATCACCACTCAGTCAACCTCGAAGTCCTGCTCAGATTTTAATTTCTTTAGAAAGTGAAGAAAGAAGTGAGCTGGAGAGAATCCTTGCAGACTTGGAAGAAGAAAATAGGTAAGCTTACTAAAATATAACTTCCATTCATTGACGTATTAAATAACTTTCAAACCAGAAAGCAAAACAGCTAGAAAAGAAGTTATCTTATATGTAATTTACCAATTTAACATATATGTTTCTTTTCTACTTATGATTGTGATTTGTCATGTTAAATGTCCAGATGATGTAATTCCATTATAATAATAATAACTTTTATTTGCGGTCACAGACCAAAATACAAATATAATTGCAAAAGAACATGGGGAAAGTAACATCATAAACAGTTGGCTATCAGAAGCCTTGGCTGAGAGGAATTACAGCGTTCTCCTCTAATAGTTACAGCTCTTAAAAAAAATTTAGAAACCTGAAAAGTAATGTGTGAGGAGCATCCCCTAAACAATATAAGGTCAAATTACTAGCATTGAATCCAGAGAGATCTGTTTCTAGGAGAGACAGTAATTTAGTCCTACCTGCATTGTACATAGGGCAGTATAAAAACATGCTTCACAGTTTCAACCTCAGCTCTATCACAGGGGCATAACCGCTCACTTATTGGGAGCCTCTTAAATCGTCCATCCAGCAATGCTGAGGGCAGGACGTTGAAACGAGCAAGGGAGAAGACTCTTCTATACTTAGGGATGGTTAAAGTGTAAAAATATGAGGCCATCCTCAGTCCATAATAGTTAAATTGGCTGAAGATCAGAGGGGAGCAGGTTTTATTAGCTCTAGCTCTTAGATATTGCAAGTCTATGTCCACAAGCCGTTGGACTACCCTAGATTGGGCATCCTTAAGGCCATAGTCTCCCAAGGCATCCCCCGAAAAACCTAGCAGGTGGAGTTTCTTCGTCAGCTCCCTCTCCCATCGAGAAGTATAGGAGTCAGCTAACACCAGGGAGAGGTAGCTACTGGGGACTGCCAAAAAGAGCACCCGAAACCACCATTTAAAGGTGTTAATCCACGCCATGCATTCGACTGATCGAATGCCCAATTCCAGGTACATCGGAGCAAAGCCAACACAGGGAGGGAGACCCAAAAGTTTCCTAAAAAAAACCAGCCTGAGTTCTTTCAATACACTCCTTGAAGCCCCATGTCCATATAGGAATTCCATAAAGAGTTTGGGCCAAGGTTTTGGCTTTGTAAATATGCAGAGCAGAAGGAATAAACTGGCCTCCTTGGGTATAGAAAACTCTTAAAATCGGCTGATGGCTACAGGAGGCAGAATTCAGCACCTGAGTTCGATGTCTAGTCCAAGCACCGGTGTTCTGAAAATGGATACCTAAATACTTAAAATGGAAAACCTGCTTAATAGCATTACCCTTAACAGCCCAGTTGTATAGCTTCCAGGCTGTAGAGAACACCAATACTTTTGATTTGTCATAATTAATGGACAAGTGGTTCTCAGCGCAGTAGGACCCAAATGCAGAAAGTAGCCTTTTCAGACCAAGCCTTGACAGTGATAGGAGGACTGCATCGTCAGCATAAAGGAGAAGCGGGATCTTCGTAGTTGACAAATTTGGGGCGTGGGACTCAGTACGTCCAATGTAAGAGGCCAAGTCAGATAAGAATAAGTTAAACAGAAGAGGAGCCAGGACACAGCCCTGCTTTACTCCGCTCTTTATCGGGATAGGATTTGAGAGTTCTCCCTGCAAACCGCACCTGACCTGACTAAAAGTCTGATTATATAGGGATCTAATTAAGAACAGAAGATGTCTATCAGTGGAACTTTTGAGCAATTTTGACCACAACAATTCCCTTGGGATTAAATCAAATGCTGCCTTTAGATCAATAAAAGCAGTAAAAAGTTTACCACCTGGTATGGTGGCATATTTATCAACCAAGTGCGCTAGGACAAAGCAGTGGTCCAATGTGGTACAGCCCGCTTTGTACCCAGTCTGTTCAGCACCAATGATACTGGATTCCTCGACCCAGGTGAGGAGTCTGCATTGGAGATATTTAGCATACAATTTTCCAATGGTGGAGAGCAGATTTATAGGATGATAATCGGCTGGGTTGTTCCTATTTCCTTGTTTAAAAACAGGAACAATGATTGCTAGACTCAAAGAGGTCAGGATCCTGCCAGAGATATTAATGTGGGTGAAGAGTGTTGCTAAAAGAGGAATCCATCACTCAGGATTAGATTTTAGCAAATCGGGGGGTATAGCATCAGGGCCAGGGGCTTTGCCTAACTTGAGTTCAGAGATAAACTCATTAATCTCAGCGTGAGTCACGGGATGCCAGTCCGGAATTGCAGGGGGCAATTGTGGTCCAAGTCCGGTCGTGACTATTGAAGCCTGGAAGATTGACCCAAAATGGTTTTCCCAATCTCTGTTGGAGATACAACAGAGAGGGAGTCTTTATGACCAGGCAACGAGCTGGCAACAATTTGCCAAAATAGTCGCGTGTTCTTCTGCTGGATGGAGAGGAGAAGTAAATCCCACTTCTCATTTTCTTTAGCCCTCTTTTTCTTAGCAATTAATCCTTTATACTCCCCCCCTTTATACTCAGGCGATAATAGTCCTCAGGTGGGCGTTTATCCCCTCAATTACGATAAAGCAGGTAAACCTGACTAATCTTGTTCCTAAGCAGCAGACATTCTTCATCAAACCAGGGCTTGCTTCTTGGATGATATGGGCCACTTGGCCTATGGTCAGTTCCTAGCTCCCTTTGGACACTATTAATTAGTGATTCGAAGGACGAGATTGCCTCTGAATCACTGCATGTTAGGGCCTGATTGTATAGGCTAAAACACTCCAGAGATGATAAAAGAGAGTGGAACTTTCTTTCAGTCTTGGAAGACCATTTGATCCTCTTTGCATACGAGGCCACATAGGAATCCAGTATATGGGGGCCCCTAGGCAGATGCCCAATGATTGTAACCAGGGGGTAGTGGTCGCTCTCCGTGAGGCAGTCCACAAAAAAGACATGGATTGCCTGTCTTAGTAGCTGGGAAACCAGCACAAAATCAATAACACTACTCCCCCATGAAGAACTGAAAGTAAATTCACCCACTAGATCGCCTGGGGTACTCCCATTAAGGATTATCTTATTATGTTGGGATGCTAAAAGGGCTAGCTGAACACTGGCAAAATTTGTTAATTCATCCTTAGAATGCCTGGCTGAAATCTGGTGTCCTATAGCCTGGCAGATTTCTTGGGAGTAGAGTGCCTCAATCGATGGGGGAACTTGGCCTCCCAATCGGGCATTAAAGTCACCCCCTATAAAGATGTGCAGCGCTGGAAATTTGGTTTCAATACAAGTAATTTAACTCTCCAGTTCGCCCCATTGAGCCTTAGTGTCAGCTTGCCTCACCGTCCGGGGAAGGTAGACGTTGAACACTAACATTTTGCTGCGACCTCTCTTAATTAGGAACACCATAGCTAAGGAGCCACAGGGGGGCAGCTCCACTGTCTCCACTTTTAAAGAGGTAGTGACCAAGCAAGCTAAGCCACCCTTAGGTCTTCCCATCGTAGATTGTTTGGTAGCAGCCAAAGAAATGGCCGTAAATCCTGTAAGGGCTATCTTATCACATGCCCAGGTCTCCTGAAGCAGGACCACATCGAATGACTGAATATAGTTGATAAATTCTGTGGTGCTGCACCTTCTCCCCCAACCTGCTATGTTCCATGAGAGGCATTTAAATGTGCAAGGGGGGAATGCCAGGTTTGCTAGTCATTCTGTATAATTAATTTTTTCCAGAGAGCGCTTCATATCCGAAAAGATACATCCGTTATTAGATGGGAGTGTCACTCTCTTGGGAGACAAAGGCAGGGAAGAGGGGAAGGGAGGCGAGCCTTGTTCATGAGGCTTTAGGGCTCTGAACGCAGTCCAGTTTATGCTTGTAACATTAGTTGATTGCTTACCTGGCAGACATTCAGTGACATCAACAGACGGGGTTTGAAGTAGCCCTGGATCTTCAAATTTACGAATTGGATATTCTGGAGAAAGGGCCGAGGGAATTGCCTCTGATAAATCAGTGTGGACTCCCTGAAGTCCAAGGGGATCCTTATCAGGTAGTGAAAGACTGCAAAGCTTGGATTTAACTGCAGTCAGACGCTTTATAATTTGGGCCCTTTCTGATTGTGGGAGCGCATGAAAGGAGTCACAGCAGCACTGAGCTGTAATATCAGGGCTAGGGTGAAAGTCTGGGGAGCCTTGGTGGTGCAGCAGACTAAAGTGCTGTTAAGTAACACCAGCTGCTGCAATTACTGCAAATTCAAATCTCACCAGGCTCAAGGTTGACTCAGCCTTCCATCCTTTCGAGGTAGGTAAAATGAGGACCCAGATTGTGGAGGCAATAAACTGACTTTGTATAAAAAAAAAACACCGCTTTGGGGAGGGGGGGAGTCCTATTAAGCAAGTATATACAAAAGTATTAAGGCTATTGCTTAATGCATTGTAAGCCTCCTGAGTCTCCGGAGAAGGGTAGCATATAAATCGAACCAATAAATAAATAATAAATAATAAATAAATAAATAAATAAATAAATAAATAAATAATAAATAAATAAATAAATAAATAAATAAATAAATAAATAAAATCTCAGCCAGCTGTCACCAGCCCCATGCCTCAACTTGAGCCCTAGTGCCACTGTTGCCACTAAGAAATGCCCCCTCATATCATCTTCCAAGGTGTGAAAGTCTTGGGTAGCTATCTTTCATCATTGTGAGAATGGGCTGCATTCTCTCAGAGCTTTGGAAGTATTGTACTCCAAATCACATAAGGTTTATGGAACAGCACAAGGAAGATTCAGAAAAGAAGGCCTTGCATGACTACAAGCTGCTTCGGACAAGTCAAGTGCGCTTCTCAGCAGCCAGAGAAAAATGCCTAAAGTTGAATGGCATGCAGCAAATCTTGGGGAGTGCTGGGCAGTGGGGGCAATTTCAGCATGTCTCAAGACTCACACACAATGAGGTAGGGATATAGAGGGCACAAAAAATGGACTTTAATGACAGTGAGAGGATCCATTACTAAGGCAATACGCCAGTACGGTTTCAACCCTTTCCAAGAAACTAACTTGACAGAAGTCTCACACAGGCTGCTCCTTAATTCACATGAGCATAAAAGTCAAAGAAGAAGGAAGCACATTCAGACTTAGATTCTGCTGTTCCAATAAAAGTAGTTTAAACCTGTATGGCAGTGATGACTAACCTTTTTGCCATCGCGTGCCATGGCGGCGGGGAAGGTTTGCGCGTGCCACACCCATAATTCTATGCGCCATACACCCGCGATCCCCCTCCCCCTCTGCTCCCGGTACGCGATGGGCCGGTAGGCCCGTTTTTCTTTATCACCTGGCCCCAGATCCTCTCTATGCATCTGGGGAGAGTGAAAACAGCCTTCCCCACCCCCTCGGAGGCCCAAAACAGCCTGTTTCCCAACTTCTGGTTGGACAGGAAGTGACGTTTTTTGCTGTCCCCAGCCTCCAGAGCCTCTCCCTACTTCCTATTCCCAGCCTGTTTCCCTACTTCTGGTGGGCACAGAAGGCCCGAAAATCAGCTGGCTGCCGCATGCAGGAGCTGAGCTGGCATGCCCACTGATGGCACACATGCCATAGGTTCGCCATCACGGCTATATGGCAACCCTATGTGGCTGACGAATATATGCAGAGACCCCAATGTAAAATCTGTTATGTAAAAAACAGTAACAATAAATGAGCTGTTACTTCTATTACTTAATTTTCTTATTCCAAGTATGTTTATTACTATTGACTGCAAACAGATAACAAGCAACAAGCTTTTGTCTCCTGATACAAAATAGTAAGACCATCCTATGTCAATTGTTCATATCATTTCTTTCTTTTATATCACTTAGGAGTGTATATCAAGGATATTTCATAGGAGCCACTTTTCAATTTATAGAAGCATGTCTGTCTCTATTGAAGAAATCCATGCAAACCTGGTGAACTGTGGCTTGTAACATTTGCACTGAAAATATATCAATAATATTAGCAGTGAAATATAATGATTTTTTTATATAAGCTGGTGCAGAAACTCCATTATGATAACAATTTTCATGGACTCAAGCCCTTAATTTAGTAGAAATTAAACCTTTAAAAGGTTACTTTCAGCTATAAAATAGAAAAGTACACATATTCATAGATATATTTATTTTTATTCTTTCAATAGAAACCTGCAGGCAGAATATGACCGGCTGAAGCAGCAACATGATCACAAAGGACTATCTCCACTGCCATCCCCACCTGAGATGATGCCCATTTCACCACAGAGTCCTCGAGATGCTGAACTCATTGCAGAAGCCAAGTTGCTTCGTCAACACAAAGGCCGCCTAGAAGCCAGGATGCAGATCCTGGAGGATCACAACAAACAGCTAGAATCGCAGTTACATAGGCTAAGACAGCTATTGGAACAGGCAAGACATCTGCTTTTCTCTTTTATTTGATAGGAAATAATGTGGCTTTTTAATTTAATTTTCTTGTACTTATTGCATCACAAAATAAAAATGTAGTACTCTAGGATTGTATAGAATATAAATATGCAAATTGAAATCCTCGTTAATATTGGAAACCTTCCTAAATTGGTGAAATTTGTTTCTCAGTACATCTGTATGATGGGCGTGATCATGCTGTTACTCGTAAAATTAAACATTATAATTTATGGTATTTCAGCCTCAAGATGCAAAGGTGAATGGTACAACCCAGTCTTCTCCTACCTCAGTACAGAGGTCAGAAAGTAATCAGCCAATGCTTCTCCGTGGTGTTGGTAGTCAGACTACAGAATCTATGGGTAAGCTAAAAATGAAGCACTTTTTAAAATAATTGTAATAAAATAATTTTATTCACATTCTCATTAATGATAAATTCATACACAGAAACATGATGTTTGTTTCTTGATTTAAAGTTTCTCTTGTTTACTGTGCTGGGGCTCTTTTCTATATGGACTGATTTATTTGCAGAGTCAATTTGCTGGAGGGGAGGCAAAATGACAGTGTTATTAGTTATTGTGTACACACACAACCTACATTATAGAAAATAGCATGAAGGCTCATTTTGTTTTATTTTGTTGTGTTATCATGAGAAATTTTATATATGCTCGTGAGATACTATAGGTCAGAAGTGAGCAACCACAAGACTAGGGCTTACATACATTCCCCAGAGTTTCATTTATAGTTCCTTTAATATTTGTGATAGGATGGGTTAGAAGGAAAATGGTGCTTTAACATCTGTAGAATTAAAACAAATACAAAAGGCAAGAAGAGTTCTAATAAATTTCATTATTATGTTCTATCAGTTACTGCCCTGGAGCAAAGCAAAAAGCCTGAAAAGAGCTTCCAATCTCTAACGGAATTATTAGTAGTAGTAGTATTTAAGTTCATAAGAGTGCCAAGGAGAATCAAGCAAATACTTTTTGGCAAAATTATCGCCACCTAATTTGTTTCTAGCTATTTTTAGTATATAGCAATTGGTGCTTATTGTATTTCCCAAAGCTGTTCTATGGAATCAACTCAACTACCTTGTCTTCTGGATAGATGTTAATATTCAGAGAAGTGGATTCAGTACTGAAATCTCTCAACAGTGTCTTAAAACTTTTGCTGCTCCCCTGGCTAAGAAAACAATTGCTATGCCAGAAACATATCTTACCATAAAAACTTAATTTGAAGTGTAGAGCTTCTATATGCTGAAGCACCTAAAAAAAAAAAGTTGTTTGCAATGTGTCATAGTTATTAAAGTTCTGGGGGCCAAAATGAAAAATAATGGTTGCACAGATGCTTTCTGCGAGAATTTGCTTTCACTTGTATTATATTTAATTGAGTATGGAAATGATTTAGATCCCTATTGTGATACTAACATTCAAGTGGGGAGGGGACCCCGGATTCTTGTACTCAGCTAGCAGGAGATCGCCCTTCTCCTTGCCATCTCCAGAGCTTCCCCTCTATCTTGCCGATCCCTCTGAGATTGCCGCTGCCCTTCTAGGGTCTCCAGGCCGAAAAAAAATAGTGCTCCGCTTCGTTGTGACATTACCACCAGAAGTCAGGGACCCAGGATTCTTGTACTCACTTACTGCTCTCATCCTCTTTCCTATATATCCTGTAATTCCCTAGTTTATAACTTTTACCCTGTCACCTATTCTGCCCTGTGCTTTGATTTACTTTGGGGAATGTACAAGGGGTGAAGGCCATCTGTTTTCTCTCAGCTTGGAAGCCTCACAAAAGAAGTGCATGGGAACGACTCCTTTTTTTATATATAAAAAGTTTTTTTTTATTTTATAGACAAACAAACATACAATACATAATCATTCAGTGTATCATCTGAGTACGTCTTTTATGTCGTCTTCTTACTCCTCCAATCTTTATCATATCTTGATATTATAATTTCATTTACTGTAACATTTCTCCCCCATTTAATACCTATTATCTATCCTATATATATCTCTTCTCTAACCAATGGTAAAATTGCTCCCATATCTTAACATATTCTGATTCCTCTCTTTTTTTAATTGTCAATGTCAATCTAGTCATTTCTGCACAATATTTTCTTAATTACTTCTCCCTTTGTAGGGATTATCTCTGCTTTCCATCTTTGCGCAAATACTATCCTCGCTGCAGTTATAACATGTATAATCAAATATATATTTTCTTTACTAAACTTCTCTGGTAAAATACCCAATAGGAACAGTTCAGGTTTTAAATCTATATGTTGTTGTATCATTTCTTCTAACCATGTTTTAATTTTGATCTAATAATTTCTCGTTTCTGGACACGTCCACCACATATGATAATACGATCCTGCTATCTGATGGCATTTCCAACATTTAGCTAATTTATCTTTAAACATTTTTGCCAATTTTTTGGGTAGCATGTGCCATCTGTAAAACATTTTATATTGCTTCTCCTTATATGTTGTGGACATTGTTAATTTATAATTCCTTTCCCATAGCTGTTGCCATTTATCTAACGCACTTGAGTATCCAAAATTTTTTGCCCATGCTATCATTGTTACTTTTACCTGTTCTTTTTCTAATTCAATACTAAGTAAATGATTATATATCTTTTTAATTATGTGTTCATCTGTTCCTGTGAGTATCTTATCCAATTCTGTCATTTCTAAATAGAAACCATACAGTTTAGCATCTTTTTTATACCTTGTTTGAATTTGCATATGAGTATACCAGTCCATCTCAATCCCTTGTTCTATTTCTTGTTTCCCTTTCAATTCCCCCTTATCTGTTAAAATATCCTTATATCTAAGAATATTTCTAATATTAATAATATTTGGATGTATTAATGCTTCCATTGTTGATAACCATGCTGGTATTTTCAAATAATATTTATCTCTAATCTTCTCCCACACTAATAACAATGCATTTCTTACATAATGTCTTTGGAAATAAGTATGTATCTTGCTCCTGCCATACCATAAGGTATGATAAGATGCCATACCAAAAGGCATGCCATCCCAATTGTAAATCATGACCTTCCAAAGTTAATAGTCTTATATTTCTTAGTCCAATCCATTCTCTCATCCAAGTCAACATTGCAGCCTGATAAGATACCATATTTTTCAGCGTATAAGATGACTTTTTAACACATGAAAATCTTTTCAAAAGTCAGGGGTTGTCTTATACGCCGGGTGTCATTCTCCTGTAACCAGGCAGACTAGCCCGAAAGGCTCTGACAAGCCAAGCTCTGACCATCCCAGCTGAGTTGCCTGCTAATCAGGCAACTCAGCTTGGATCGCCAGAGCCATGTAAAAGGAAAAAAGTTTTCCCCCTCCAGCTTGCTTACCTTAGCTGCTAGTCGCAACGCTTGCCTTGCTTCGCTTGCTGCAATCCATTCCATCAGCAAGCAACTCCCTGCCTGCAATCAAGCAGGCAGGGAGTTGTGGACTTCAACTCCCAGAATTCCTCAGCCAAAGTGGCTGAGGAATTCTGGGAGTTGAAGTCTACAAGTCTTAAAGTTGCCAAGGTTGGAGACCCCGGTTCTATTGGGTAAGTTTTTTTCCCCTTTGGGAGCTTTAAAAAAAATAGTTAATTGGGGTTTTTTTTAGTTGTTCTTTTTTAGACCTAGCCATTTAAAGTTTAGGAAGTTTTAAATGTAGCTTTCATAAATAAAAATAAAATAAAATAATATTTGTGCAGCTTTCTGAGATTTAGTGTGTTTCTGTAGTGTTTCACTCTAACTACACAAACACACAAAATCTCACAAAGCTGTATGTGGAATTTTGTGTGTGTAAAGTGTGAAAGTTGGGTTTTTGGGCTTTTTGTGGCTGTGTGAGGTTCCTGCTTGTTTCAGGGGCCATTTTGGGTCTAGCACAGCTGCTTTTACATTGTGGGTGAGCCAGTTGATGTTTTTTAATTTTTATTTGGTGTGCGTTGGAAGAGGGGTGGTCTTATACAGCAAGTATAGCCAAAACCCTATATTTTAACAGGAAAAATCGGGGGTCGTCTTTTATGCCGGAAAGTACGGTAATTCCCAATTCGGTAGTCCAAATCCTTCACGTAGTCTCGCATCTTGCAAGAGTTTTATATTGATTCTCGCTTTTTTCCCTTGCCATATAAATTTCTTTATTATTTTATTGAGATGATCAAAATATGTCTTTTCCACTTTTATCAATATTGTCTGAAATAGGAACAATAGTCTCGGTATTATGTTCATCTTTATTATCGCAATCTTACCCATTAATGATAATTGTAATTTTTTCCATTTCTCCAAGTCTTCGTCAGTTTGTTTTTTTAGTTTATAATAATTATCTTCCTTTATCGTTACACATCTTGAGGTTAAATATATTCCTAAATATTTTATTTTCTTCACAATTTGAATATTTATTTTCTCCGTCAATCCTCTTTTCTGTTTTTCTGTGATATTTTTGACCAATATTTTTGTTTTTTCTTTATTTTTAGTCCTGCCACTTCTCCATACTCTTCTATTTGTTTTAATAGTTTAGGACCCGTTGTTTGAGGCTCCTCCAAGATAAAAAGTAATCATCTGCAAAGGCTTGTAATTTATATTCTTCTTTCTTAATTTTCATTCCTTTTATTTCTTCATTTTGTCTTATATTTCTATTTAACACTTCTAATGTTAATACAAATAACAATGGAGATAACGGACATCCTTGCCTTGTGCCTTTCATTATATGTCATCTCTCCATTCATCATTATTTTTGTTGATTGTTTACTATAGATTGTTTTTATCATATCTGTAAATCTCTCCCCAAATTCCACCATCTGTAATTGTTCTATCATAAATTGCCAGTTCAAATTATCAAATGCTTTTTGTGCATCTAGAAACATCATCGCTATTTCTTTTTCTGGATGTGCCTCATAGTATTCCAAGGTATTCAGAATTATCCTCATATTGCCTCTAATTTGTCTCTCAGGTAAAAACCCATTTTGATCCATATGAATAAACTCATTTAAGAGCCTTTGCCATTACTGAAGCAAAGATCTTATAGTCTGTCAGAGGTAATTATCCCTGTTACCTTCCTGGGGTAATTGCTGGATCGTGGCATTCTCCTTGTGTATACTTTTGATAAAATAAAACCGGAATACATCTTCTAATAAACTATATTTATTGTAAAGAAAATAAAACATCTAACTATCTAAAATTTAATTGTTACATTTTTGCAAAATTGCTATCGGCTACTTCTCAGTAGCCGGACGTCTCTTGGCAAGAGAAGAAAGAAAAGTATGAAGTGGAAAGAAAAGAATGCAGATACACGTAATTAGCTTACTGATAACAAAAGTTGGCAACCTACGGAAAGTCTGACAGTCCAGAAATAATGAGCTCA